AGCTGTTTACAACTGTCTGAATGCAGCCAGTTTCCATATCCTTCTGTTTTTCACTTAAAATTAATATAATTAAATAGCATTAGGTGTTACTTTGGTTTTCATTTTTGGTTGCTTGAGCAAGCAACTCCATTGAAATGAAAGCACTGTAGCCTCAAAACTCAGATGATAATCCAATGTCAAACCATGGAACATCTGCAGAAATACCAGTTTACTTTAGCATCTTCCATTTTCAGGGGATGTTTCTTAAACAAATCCAAGAGGAATCTTTGCAAACAGAGGAACAATAATGCTTTCGTTTGATGTTTGCTTAAAAAAGAACTCTAATCTTTTGATATATTTTGTAAAAAAAAATAAAAATAAAACAGGCTCCCAAAAAGGATTAGGAAAAAAAATGTTTCTCTTTTCCTGAGCTAGAATGTCTTCCTTCTACTGCGCAGAGTTTTTGAGATGTTTTCATCCTTTATGTAAAACAATTTGCATGATCCTGAAATCAGCACCGTGTAACATTCCAGCCCAATTCCAGTCAAATTACTTCGGTTTAATGCAGTATGGCTGGGTTGCCAACACACAGCTAATTGCGGAGGGAGACGAGTGAATTAAAAATGTCTTTGAGCAGGAAGCCAGCTACCCTTCACAATTACTGGGGACTGAAAAGCATTAGAATTTATTAAGCTTTAGAAGGAGACATAGTCCTTTCATGTATCTGTGAAATTAAAACTCAAATATCTGGTCCTGACGGTTATAAAAAGAATTTTAAGCAGTAAAGTGGCAAGGAAGGTTATGCATGAGAGAAGTGCTGTTTTAATGCTTCAGCTAGCTCCTTGGGAGCTAGTTATTGAGATGCAACCGAAAGCCGTTGTACAGAACTGTTGTTATCTCTCCGCCAACAATTTCTCAGTGGCAAAATGAATGCCTCTTTGAAAGTGCCATCATTTACATTGATAAAACAATAAAAGTTATATATATATAAAAGAAGTGATGAATTTCAAAATGTTGACATATTATTCAAAATCATATTCATATCGTTCAATGCTACTCTTATTCATTAAATCATCTTGATAAACTCATGGGTATTAAAACAGTATGAACATGACACAATTGCCTGTCTTGTGTGTAAACATCCTCACCATAATTTTTTTTTTACATTTCCAGCATAATGAATTGATCACCAGTTTTAAACATTCTCTGAAGTATCCAGTAAATATAGAAAAAAAATGTTTTTGTGTTGAATTTTTATCTTAAGAAACGTTCTTAAATTTCTTTACATTTTGTTTAGGTGCTAATGTGGGGCGTTCCGAATCTGAATAAAGTTCTTGCAAATAATGGAAAGAAAAAAAAAAGAAAGGAAGGAAGGAAGGAAGGAAGGAAGGAAGAAAGGGAGAGAGAGAGAGAGAGAGAGAAAGAAAGAGAGAGAGAGAGAAAGAAAGAAAGAAAGAAAGAAAGAAAGAAAGAAAGAAAGAAAGAAAATGCTCCCATTGTTAGCAGATATGCTGTAGGATTGCTCGAAAATCGAGACAGTGTTATCAGCAAAGAAACAGGGAAAACACAAGTAGTCCTCAACTTAACAATCACAACTAAGCTCAAAATTTCTGTTGCTAAGTGAGAACTTAACTGCAATTGTTCTCTTAACAACTGTGGCATAATAAAGGGCCACAAAACTGGGCATAACCCACTTAACAATGGTCTCATTAGCAAGACTGAAGTGGTTTGTCATAGTTTTTCTCTGGAAAATATTTTGAATAGCAATAGCTATAACAGTAGCACTTAGACTTATATACCGTTTCACAGTGCTTTACAGCCCTCTCTCAGCAGTTTACAGTCAGCCTATTGCCCCCATCATTCTGGGTCCTCATTTTACTGACCTTGGAAGGATGGAAGGCCAAGTCAACCTTCAGCTGGTCAGGATCCAAATCCTGGCAGTGGAAGGCAGAATTAGCCTACAATGCTGCATTCTAACCACTGCGCCACCACGGCTCTTGAATCTATAACCCCAACTATTATTCTGAAATTTTGTAATACAGGTAGTCCTTGACTTACAACCATTCATTTACTGACCATTTGAAATTACAACAGCACTTTAAAAGGTGACTTTCAACCATTATCACACTTACGACCACCCTTGGCAACTGGCCCATATTTATGACGGTTGCAGTGTCCCGGGGTCATGTGATCACCTTTTGCAACTTATTGACAAGCAAAATGAATGCGGACGCCAGACTCACTTAACAACCATTTTACTAACTTAACAACTGAAGTGGTTCACTTAGCAACTGTGGCAAGAAAAGCCATAACATGGGACAGAAATATTGGGCTCTCGTGGTTCTAAGTCGAGAGCCACTTGCATAATATTATGAGATAGATTTTCGTTACAGAAAACATAGCTGCATTGTGAATTGCCAGCCTGGCATTGTGTCCCTTGTTCAGAAAGAGGAAACATGTTGTGGGTGGACATTTCTAGGTGAGTCAAGAAACAACCCTGCTTTAAGCATTCAGAAGGGAAACTGTAGGCATGGAGAATTTTCTAACAAGTGAGGAAGAAAACATTGTTAATGAGAACTGAGACAGTCTAAATTTCAACCCCTCAGTGAGATGCAGTTGCCAGGTTCTCTATTTTTATGCAATATGCAGTTTTTAATGACAACCCAATATGCTAGATGAGTGGTTCTCAACCTTCCTAATGCCGTGACCCTTTAATATAGTTCCTCATGTTGTGGTGACCCCCCCAACCATAAAATTATTTTCGTTGCTACATCATAACTGTAATTTTGCTACTGTTATGAATTGTAATGTAAATATCTGATATGCAGGATGTATTTTCATTGTTACAAATTGAACATAATTAAAGCATAGTGATTAATCACAAAAACAATATAGCAATGCTTGCTGAAGCAATGCTCAAAAATGTTGGGAGGGAGGGAAGGGGAAGGAAGGAAGGAAGGAAGATTGAAGGGGAAAGGAAGGAAGGAAGGAGAGAGATTTAAGGGGAAGGGATGGAGATGGAGATGGAGATGGAAGGAAGGAAGGAAAGGAAGGAAGGAAGGAAGGAAGGAAAGAAGGAAGGAAGGAAGGAAGGAAGGAAGGAAGATTGAAGGGGAAAGGAAGGAGATAGAGAAGAAAGGAGATTGAAGGAGGAAGGAAGGAAGGAGAGAGATTGAAGGGGAAGGGATGGAGAAGGAAGGAAGGAAGGAAGGAAGGAAGGAAGGAAGGAAGGAAGGAAGGAAGGAAGGAAGGGAGGGAGGGAGGGAGGGAGGGAGGGAGGGAGGAAGGAAGGAAGGAAGGAAGATTGAAGGGGAAAGGAAGGAGATGGAGAAGGAAGGAGATTGAAGGGGGAAGGAAGGAAGGAAGGAAGGAAGGAGAGATTAAAGGGAAAGAAAAGGAGATGGATGGAAGGAAGGAAGGAAGGAAGGAAGGAAGGAAGGAAGGAAGGAAGGAAGGAAGGAAGGAAGGAAGGAAGGAAGGAAAAAGTGCTTTATAACGCCCGACGGGGAAAGATATTTTAACCCCCGGTGGCTGATTGAGGAAGCCTGGTCCGTCGGACCGGTTTCCAAATAAGCCTGATTGGGGAGGCGGGAGTGTAAATGATGTATCCAAGGACGGTTCCCATTGCCCCTTCCCCTCTCTGTTTGGCTACCACCGGGGAAAACGCACAGGCGCGCGGGCACAGGGGTAAGAAAGGACAAACGCCCAGATTAAAACTGGTGCCAACGTTTCCAAACGAAATGCTCTGAGCTGTGAAGCCTTATCCAAAGCGGGGTCTGCTCGAATGATTTCTCTTCCCTTCCGGCTGTTTTTTTTTTTCATCCCCCACATCTGAGCAGAGCTGCCGCCGGCCTGCCCCCATAGCCAAGAGTTCCAGACCAGCGCCTTTCCAATCTCTGGCGCTGCTTGCAGCAGGGGTCGGGGTGGGGGAGATGGATCCTTTTTTACAGCCCCGAAACGAGTTTTCTCCTTTGATTTCGGGGTCCCGTTGCCGGCTCACGGGAGTGGATCACGGCTCTGTAATCTGCCTCGATCGATAGAAAGCCAGGAGGCGAAAGGAAGGAAGGAAGGAAGGAAGGAAGGAAGGAAGGATCTTTGGAGAGTCATGTTTTTCCAGATGGTGATGAACTGCAACTCCCAGCATTCCCCACTCTTCCACAGTGCTTTTTAGGGCTGCTGGGGATGGTAGTCCAGTAAGGTCTGGAGACACACACAGATGCCCTAGCAGGGAAAATTAACCGGGTAATTGCTGCGGCTTTACTTGGAGGCATTCTGCACCTCCTGAAAATCACTTTAAACAATTTTCCCTGGTTCAGCAAAGGCAACAAGTAATAAAACAAGCAACAGGTACCGGTAATAAAATAGCCCAAATTGTCCTTTCCAGCACAGATGAAAAGAACCAGGGAAAGGGAAATCGCGTCTGCCTCTTTGACCAACGGGAAGAGAAGCAGTAGGAAAAGCACTGCGTTTCGGCCTGGGCACACAGCCTTGCCCACAGGCAAGGACGCACAAGCAGCTCCGCACAATTGCCCGGGGAGGGGGGGGAAGGCTCTGGCGGAGCAGCCCAGTGGCAGCGTCAGCAACGGCCCAGACCCGGCTCGACCCGGCCCGGCCAGCCACACAGCTGAGCCGGTTGGGGGCACGCGCAATGGTACTGCGGCGGCAGGAGCAGGCGCTGTCGGAGAAGGGTGCCCTGGACGCTGAGGAGCCAGGGGAGGAGGAGGGCAGCAGCGGCAGCCGGATAGAGGAGCGGTGTCTCGGTTCCTAAGACCATTGGAAATATGTGTTTTCCGATGGTCTTAGGCAACCCCTGTGAAAGCGTCGTTCGACCCCCAAAAGGGTCACAACCCACAGGTTGAGAACCGCTGTGCTAGATGGTTAAATTAGAAGTATCAGCACAGTATTACGTGCTGTAGCTATGGAGGCATTGATAGTATGAGCTGTACTTTAATAACCACCAAGAGGTTTGGTGCTTTCATAACCTCTCTTTCTTCTCTCATTTTTTTCCTTCATGTTTTCAGCATACATATGTTTCCTGATGTGCGCCTTGGGGGTGACAGCAGGTGCCCACCGCTTGTGGAGTCACAGATCTTACAAAGCCAAACTGCCACTGCGAATATTTTTGGCTGCAGCCAATTCAATGGCATTTCAGGTGGGTATTTACACATCTATTGAACCCTACTTAAGCGAGAGTTTAAGGCTGGAGTGTCCAACCTTGGCAACTTTAAGACCTGTGGACTTCAACTCCCAGAGTAATAGATAAGAGTCAACCGAATTCAAGACAGATTGGATTTAGGCCACTTGTGAGGACCTAATGCAGGGGTGGTGAACCTATGGCATGGGTGCCAGAGGCGGCACTCAGAGCCCTCTCTGTGGGCATGCGCACTGATGTCCTACGCCATCAGCTGGGTTTTATAAAACCTTTCGCTTTAGGCCTCTGCCGCTGTGTACAAAAAAAAAGGTTCAATCAATCAGTCAATTTCAACTTCTCGCGGGAAAAAAAAAGATCTTGCAAAGTTGGAATTGATTGATTGAACTTTTTAGTCCCACCCAGTCTGCTGTTACCACCGCAGGCATGCCCACCCAATGGGCCACACCCAGCCAATGGGCCACACCCACCGAGCACCCGACAATGCATAAGTGGGTTTTGGGTTGCAGTTTGGGCACTCGGTCTCTAAAAGGTTGGCCATCACTGACCTAATAACTCCAGGCATACTTGGGATTGTACATGGCCCTGGCCAATCAGCAACTTTGCAGAATTATTTATTTTCCAGTTTTTATTATCCAGGTAACTCTTTGAAGCCACAGAAGAGAAGCCCAGCAGCTGGTTTCTTGGCTCTACAACAGAGAAGTATTTGAAATGACACAGGCTATAGCAGCGATCTTCAAACTTGGCCCTTTTATGACGTGTGGACTTCAACTCCCAGAATTCCTCAGCCAGGCATGCTGGCTGAGGAATTCTGGGAGTTGACGTCCACAAGTCATAAAAGGGCCAAGTTTGAAGACTCCTGGATTATAGGGAGAGAGATGTCTGTACCTGCTACCGTAATTGTATATTGAAAAGAAGCTCACTTGCTCTCCTCCTAGAAGCTCAGGTGGGTGAGGTAAAAATACTCCTGAAGTCTCATAGGAGGTAGAAACAACAAGATAGCCAGAGGGCAATTTTCTTTGGAAACTAAGCCAGCTGCTATCTTTGATAGTACTTGACATAAACAGTTGGTGTTTTTTTTTTTTTTTTGATACAGCAAGCAATGCTGTTGCTTGTCCCAAAGGTGCTTTTTTCAAAAGGCAACTGGACTTCCTTTGTTTTTCCTTGAGGAACGGAAGAAGCTTCTTGGATGAGAAGCAAAACGTCTTCAAGGAAAACATAAAGAAAGCCCAGCTGCTTTTTGAGAAAGCATTGGGACAACCATGATCTGGGTGACTAAGCACCTCCATAGACAATGCTGTTGCTTTAAAACAGTGTTTCTCAACCTTGACAATTTTAAGGCATGTGGACTTCAACTCCCAGAATTCCACAGCCAGCAATGCTGGCTGTGGAATTCTGGGAGTTGAAGTCCACATGCCTTAAAATTGTCAAGGTTGAGAAACACTGCTTTAAAAGGACCACACGGGCAAGGAAGGACTCAAAGGCCCACAGAGCCACGACACTTAATTTTCTCCTTCTGTTTTGTGCAGAATGACATTTTTGAATGGGCTCGAGACCACCGAGTGCATCACAAGTACTCCGAGACGGATGCTGATCCCCATAATGCCAAGCGGGGGTTCTTTTTCTCCCATATTGGCTGGCTCTTTGTCCGGAAGCATCGTGATGTCATTGAGAAGGGGAGAAAACTGGATTTCAGTGATTTATTGGAGGATCCGGTGGTGAGCTTTCAGAGAAAGTGAGTGATAATGGTAGACACGAGTAAGGTTGGAGATACACTGGGAGATCTTCAGGTCAAAATTAGCCAGCTATTGGGCAGAGGTTTGGATTAGATCAGTGTCTCTCCATCTTGGCAAGTTTAAGATGGGTGGACTTCAATTCCCAGCATTCCCAGAATTTTGGTCTAGATGACTCCCAGGGTCCCTTCCAACTCAACAATTCTATGACAATTAGCATTTTCCAACTAAGTGCTTGTATAACAATAATAATAAAGTTGGAAGGGACCTTGGAGCTCATCTAGTCCAACCCCCTGCTCAGGCAGGAAACCCTATACCATTTCATACAAATGGTTGTCCTATCTCTTCTTAAAAACTTCCAGTGTTGGCGCATTCACTGCTTCTAGAGGCAGGTTGTTCCACTGGTTAATTGTTCTCACTATCAGGAAGTATAGTTGTATAGTTGTATTAGTGATTTTTCAGAGGTGCAAGCCCATGAAGGAGAGAACTTATGAATTTAACAAACAGTCCTATTTATAGGATTGTCATGGCCACAATACGTTAATTACTGCACTGAGTTTAGCACAGAGCTCCTGTAAAGCTGAAGGAACAATCCCACATTCGTGAAAAATTGTATAAAGTATACAAAGCTCTTATAAACAATGACACAATTGGGGATTGGGATCAATTCCTGCATAAATAAATGGCTTTATCCAGCCTGAAAAATTACAGTGATAATTAGTTTGCTGAATTTTTTGGAAAGATTTCTCATTCTAATTTCTAACCTTTGAGGTGCAATGATCTCTGACTGAAATAATCAGTCGCTAATACTGCTGAGAACAACTTAATTCAGCCACATTTTTCTGCTTTTTCACCTGAGTCCCACTTCAAAAGGAAAGGAAATAATGAAATGAATAAACTGTGACAACAAAAGAAAACCACCAGTCAGGCTTAAAAGCAGCTTTTAAGAATATCCCAGCATGGAAGGAAAAAAAAACCATAAACATTTAAAGCATTAAAAATGGGTTCAAAGCATTAAAAAGATGCTTTTAGTAAGGCTGGGGTCAAACAGATCTCTCTTCAAACACAGTGAGTTGCACGATGCTTCGATTATTAATCCCAGCCCGTTAACACTTAAACAACCCAAAACTGCCCTTTTATTTGTTTCTTTGATATATTTATCTCTCACATTTTCACCAGGGGCTTTTATCCCCATAACCACAACCCTATGAGGTAGGCTAGGTGGGCAGAAAGATGGAGTGACATCCAGTGACCTCCTAAGAGTGGATTCGAACCAGGAATCCAAGGGTTTTGTGGAAAGCAAGATGGTCAAGCAAAATGGAGAAAGCGCTGGACAAAGATGGGACAATGGTTGTCCCCGAGGTTTCTCCATTTTGAGAAGTTTGCTGGCTGGAGAATTCTGGGAGTTGAAGTCCACCCATCTGAAACTTTCCCAGATGGAGAAACAGGGGTCCAATCCAATCTTCTACCCAATGTACGATCCCAATGGCTACCTAACTTTGACTTGAAGACCTGGCTTGATGGACCACCAGTGAATGAGGAATTTCCGTCAAGAAAATTTCCCTTAATGAAGAATGAAGAATCTCACGACACCATAAAGATCGATACATTTTTAGTGAACAAGCCATGAATGCCTACGCTGTAATTTGCTATGCCATGGGAATTTGTCATTTTTTGAGCCAGAAGGAAAGCTCCTTTGTTCCTGTTAAAAAGAAAGAAAACATGATCACAGCGGAAGGGAGGAGAACATGATCAGGCGTGAGAACATGATCAGAAAGTTGCAGAATTTTATCTCTTGGGGGAATGGGGCATAATGCATTAATGAGAAAGAAATCTTGCACAAATTGTGGCAAATTACAATGACTTCAGCAGGAATTGTTCCAAGCAAAGGAACACACAATCTTGTGCGTTTCCCCCCCCCCATGCACAAATGCTCTGAATGATAAGGGTGCAGTTCATGGTAGCTTGCAGAAAAATAAAGATTTGAGGTTGTAAAAGGAGGCGAAGGTTGGAAATTTTAATAGATTCCGCAGCAAACATTTTATCTAGTAGTGCTAACTGAAGAATGTGTCTTATTTTCCCAGCTGGAGTTTAGATTATTCATTTTAGTTCCTGGTGAATAGAGATAAAGCAAACCAACTAAAGAGATTATAATAATCAAAAGTTTGCAGGTGTCAAGGAAATGCAGCTGCCAAAAAAGCCAGCACAGGCTGCATTAACAGAGGGATAGAATCAAGATCATATAAATGTGTTAATATCACTTTACAATGCTTTGGTAAGGCCACACTTGGAATACTGCATCCAGTTTTGGTCACCGCGATGTAAAAAAGATGTTGAGACTCTAGAACAGTGGTTCTCAACCTGTGGGTCGGGACCCCATTTGGGGTCGAACAACCATTTCACGGGGGTCGCCAAACAACGCAGTCTGCCATTTTTTCCCCCTTTTCCTTAGCTGTGCTACTCCCTTTTATTCTATTGGCTTTTGAAAGCCAATAGAATAGACTCTCTTGAATAGAGTCTAATTCTATTGGCTTTCAAAAGGCAATAGGAATTGTCCAGGCTATCTCTGCCCTGCTGAGCCCGTCAAAAGTCCCATTCTGCAAACGGTGCTGCACCAGTTGAGTAGTCCTTGACTTACGACCGGTTGAGTAGTCTTCGATTTACGACCAGTTGGGGGTTGCAACATTAAAAAGGTTGAGAACCACTGCTCTAGAAAGAGTACAGAGAAGAGCAACAAAGATGATTAGGGGGCTAGAGGCTAAAACATATAAAGAACAGTTGCTGGAACTGGATATGTCTAATTTAATGAAAAGAAGAGCTAGGGATGACATGATAGCAGTGTTCCAGTATCTCAGGGGTTGCCATAAAGAAGAGAGGGTCAAGCTATTCTCCAAAGCACCTGAAGGCAGGACAAGAAGCAATGGATGGAAACTAACCAAAGAGAGAAGCAGCCTAGAACTAAGGAGAAATTTCCTGACAGTTAGAACAATTAATCAGTGAAACAACTTGCCTACAGAAATTGTGAATGCTATAAGAAGTGATTGAACAACCACTTGTCTGAAATGGTATAGGGCAGGGGTAGGCAACCTTGGCTCTTTTATGACGCGTGGACTTCAACTCCCAGAATTTCTGAGCCAGCATGGCTCAGCTTGGAAACCTCTCCCTTTCCCCCCAGCATGGCTGGCTCAGGAATTCTGGGAGTTGAAGTCCACAAGTCATAAAAGAGCCAAGGTTGCCTACCCCTGCTCTAAACCTTTAGATTTTCCATGTTGCAAAGGGAAGACTCTACACCAGTGGTTCTCAACCTGTGGTCCATGGAGCCCTGAGGATCCATGATATCATGACAGGGGGTCCACAAAGGTTTGAAAAAAATGTTATGATTTAGATCTTGAGTTAAGTCTTTGGGGAATCTGTGGCCATAGTCTGTGGCCACAAACAATATTTAAAGAGACTCCGTGGTGAAGAAAAAGTTAAGAATCATTGCTCTACAAACTTCTTATGAAAATGGGGACAAACAGAAAGCATCTGAGAGAATGTTTTCACTTTTTTGTACAGACCCCCCCCTCCATCTTTATATTAAAACTACACTAATAGCTGAATAAGGGTTTCTGGCGAGCGTATTACCACTTATTATTCTTTCATTTTGCACTACACATATATATATTGACAACATATTTCCCATGATCTTTTCTTCTCAGTTGACTCATCTGGAATCATTGTTACGGGAAATGTTATCTTGTATGATCCAGTCACCTCTGTTTTTCCTTTTCTTTCCTCACAGGTACTATAAAAGTTCAGTTGTGTTGATGTGTTTTGTCATTCCTACTATCTTGCCTTGGTATCTCTGGGGCGAGAGCTTGTGGAATTCATACTTCTTGGCTTCAATTCTCCGCTACACCGTCTCCCTCAATGTTGCTTGGCTGGTCAATAGTGTTGCTCACATGTATGGAAACAGGCCATATGACAAAGACATCAACCCTCGGCAGAATACCTTTGTCACTTTCGGAGCTATTGGTGAGTTGCCAACAATTGATTCACCTAGTTTTTTGAGGTTGTTTTCTCCAGACTGCTTTAATGGTGCTTTACAGTCAGGGATGTCCACAAGTTATATGAAAAGGAGGATGATGGCTGTGGTGGTGAAATCAAGGGTCTTCCTCTTTTTTGTGGGTGTCTTATGAAATATTGGGCAGATAATATTAGAAAGTTCTGGTGTGGATAAGAAAGTAAAGACCTCCTTACCAGTAATCAATACCTAGATGAGCACAGATTAACACCAAGATTAACAAATAGATCAACAATGAAGAAGTAAATAATACCCCAGTCAAGGAACTACCAATTCAAACAAACAAGTTAACAGAAAACAACATCTAATTAAAGAACCAACAAGAACATTCCCACCAACACCGACACAGCAAACCACTAGTATACAAAATGACAGCAATTCCTACTCCTTTTTAGCACTGATGATGTTACCTAGTTTGGTAATGAGATGTCTGAAAGAAAACAACCAAGCTCAGAAAACACTAAGGACCCCATGGAGGAGAAATTTTACTTGTTTGCTTAGACCTTTTCTTCTTCTCTAAAAAAAAAGCTGTACTATTAGAACAACTAAAAATTCTTTAGCTACATACCATGTTTCCCTGAAACTAAGACCAGGTCTTACATTAATTTTTGCTCCAAAAGGTGCATTAGGGGTATTTTCCGGTTAGGTCTTATTTTTGAGGGGAAATACGGTAGTAAACTAAGCAAGAGAGGGAGAGAGAAATAATGGCTGATATTAAATTTATAGAACCTGCATTTAATTACTATTTTAACATCGAACATGGCAGGCATTCCAAGCACTATCAGAGGTAAGATTCAGACTGTTGTGTAGGAGCTTCTTCAAAGCTCTTGGGAAACATAATAGTCCCCATTTTGAGAATATAAAATCTAATCATCCAACCTAAGTGGAAATCAGAAGTAAAGGGAGGAAGAAATCAGGAGATGGCTCGTTGGAACATTTCATTTTGGACACCCTGTTCAAAGTATATATTTACAGGACATAGCTCTTAAAATCCTTTTGTTGGTCAAAATCATGAAAATAATAGCTGTTCCTCCATTAGAATGTCTACTGCCTCTGCTTGTTGATGCTACATCCTACTTTTTTTTCCCCCTTCTCTACCTTTGACCCTACTTTTCATTTCTTCTGGGTTCTGTTTTCCAGGAGAAGGTTACCATAATTACCACCACACCTTTCCATTTGATTATTCAGCCAGTGAGTTTGGCTTGAAATTCAACCCAACCACATGGTTCATTGACTTCATGTTTTGGTTGGGTTTGGTCACTGAGAGGAAGCAAGCACCCAATGAGATGATCCAAGCTCGCAAACAGAGGACTGGAGATGGTACTTCTTGAGAAACAAATTGACTCTTGAATGTCAATGCTGCTGTGTTGTTTGTATGTTTCTTGATTGGGGGGGGGCTTCTGTCCCAAACCTTCTCTTATAATGAAAGTAGTATTTTTCATTGAATGATGGCCAAATTCATTTCTGGATAAATGTCATTTTACTTTAATGCAGTCATTTTTTTATTGCAGAAAACACTTTAAATATTCATCCATCTTCCAAGAAAGATGTGAAAGTTCCAGCCTGCAATTTTTCCATAACATAACGCCCTTCAGATATGTTGAACTCTAATTCCCATAATCCCTACCACTTGCAGCCTTTGGACATTTCAAGTCCAACACATCTGGAAAACACCCGGTTGGGAAAGGCTGGATGGGCAGTCTTCAGGGTTGTGGGTGCTAGTTCTACTGAAAACATGATATCTACCAACCATGGGGCAGAGTCAGATGCAAAACTGTGATGCAGGAGCAAAGCAGATTTGACTCTACATCTACCGAGGTACATCTGACATGTTGAACATCAGGAACTCTGATGCAGAATGTAAAACTGGTCAGGAAAAACTGTGCAGTTTACTTACCTGGTCTAAAGCATCCCTTCATCTCATAACAGGTCACTAGCTGCTACCAAATACTGTATGTTGAACCTCATGATTTGAGGGAATGCTCTAGATCAATGGTTCTCAACCTTTTTTAATGCCGCGACTCCCAACCGGTTGTAAGTCGAGGACTACTCAACTGGTCGTAAGTCGAGGACTACTCAACTGGTGCAGCACCGTTTGCAGAATGGGACTTTTGGCGGGCTCAGCAGGGCAGAGACAGCCTGGACAATTCCTATTGGCTTTTGAAAGCCAATAGAATTAGACTCTATTCAAGAGAGTCTATTCTATTGGCTTTCAAAAGCCAATAGAATAAAAGAGAATAGCACAGCTAAGGAAAAAGGGAAAAAAATGGCGGACTGTGTTGTTTGGCGACCCCCGTGAAATGGTCGTTCGACCCCAAATGGGGTCCCAACCCACAGGTTGAGAACCACTGCTCTAGATCAAGGATCTCCAAACTGTTGGAGTTGGCTGAGGAATTCTGAAAGTCCAGAAATCTTAAATTTGCCAAGTTTGGAGAGCCCTGATCTAGCTGCAGAATAGTCTCCTATAGTTGTACATGATGCTCAACATCGGTAGTCAATCTTTCTTTAAAGCTAGCTAAAAAGCTCCTGATATCTCCCCAAAGAATGTAAAATTCCTCCATCTACACTTGGTTTTAGTGGAGTTGATTGTAGAATTAAAGCTGTCTTAAATGGAACTTTTTTTTTAGAAGATTACATATTATTTAGTATTAAAAGCAAATGATGTATTTCATCTGATGTAGTCATCTTGACTGCACACCGTCCTTCTCCAAATTGGTATCCTTGCCCTTGCCCTCTGCAGTAAATAAGCCCACTAGGTCATGCTAGTTGGCAATGAACTCTAGTCCGATTCTTACAATCCAATTCATACCACGAAGTGCAGTCCAATTCATGTTATCAGAATGAAGAAGCTCTGACTGCACTGCTTGGGATACACCACAACTCTTAACAGAATGAATGAGCTTACGGTTCTTTAATGAAAGAAAGTCAAATGTTTAATTTAAAATAGCTCTGCCATGGCTATTTTAGCTCTGCTTTGGCCTTGGATGTTCTTGTATACCTTTAAAAAGACTCTTTGAAAAGAACTTTCCCACTTGTTTTATTGAAACGATAGATTGGTAGGTGAGAAGAAGAATCCAGGAAAAATGGTTGCAAGGCTACTTCCTCCACTGAAGCAAATGGGAAAGTACTGTAATTATCACATTATCTAACTCAGGGGTCTTCAAACTTGGCCCTTTTATGACTTGTGGACTTCAACTCCCAGAATTCCTCAGCCTGGCTGAGGAATTCTGGGAGTTGAAGTCCACAAGTCATAAAAGGGCCAAGTTTGAAGACCCCTGATCTAACCTGGTCTAAGGCAGTGTTTCTCAACCTTGACAATGTTAAGGCATGTGGACTTCAACTCCCAGAATTCCACAGCCAGCAATGCTGGCTGTGGAATTCTGGGAGTTGAAGTCCACATGCCTTAACATTGTCAAGGTTGAGAAACACTGGTCTAAGGCAATGCTTCTCAACCTTGGTCACTTTAAGATGGGTGGACTTCAATTCCCAGAATTCTGGGAGTTGAAGTCCACCCATCTGAAAGTGGCCAAGGTTGAAAACACCGATCTAAGGAGAGATCCCAAACTGTGTTCCTATCTGAAGCAAAAGGACCTAGAGTATAATCAATTCCAAGAAATGTTATATAGTTATCCCATCACCAACATTATTCAGATCATGATTCAGTATTATTGTTCTCAGTAAGATTCCTTTTTACTGATAATTGCCTGCTTCTAGCTTTTACTATTTACTAGATCCACAGTGATGCCGATCATCTATCCTGCTGTTTCTGTAGAGGAGGGCTGAACAAAATGATAAAAAAACAAAGAACTCTTGTGGCACTTTTAAAACTGGGCATGTTTATTCCTGCATAAACTTTGGGGGATTGTAGTGCACTGCATCAGAAACATGTAGGCATCTGATACAGTGAACTAGCATCCAAGGAAGTTTGTGCAATGTCATATTGGTTTGTCTGCTCAGGGCAGGGGTCCCCATCCCCTGGGCTTTGGACTGGTACCGGTCCGGTGGCCTGCTAGAAACCAAGCCGCGCAAACAACAGGTGAGCAAGCAAAGCTTCATCTGCACCTGTGCAGGATCTAGGCTGCGCACAAAACCACCCAACCCCGTGGAAAAATGGTCTTCTATGAAATTGGTCCCTGGTGTCAAAAAGATTGTGGATCACTGCTCAGTGGCCACAAGTTCTTGGCTGCAAAAGATAGCTACTGGGGGGAAAAAAGTAAAGAGTGTAATTTAAAAACAGTATGGAAAAAGGGTACACAAAATCTTTTCATAAGGGAGGCTCGTACTGTATCTTGCATTTTCATCATTCTGATGAAACCAAGCTTTTTAGATAACTCCTTTCTGAGGTTTTTGCAGGTGTTTGTATGTAGGTCTTTGGTCATTCGGGTTTTCTCCCGTGTCAAATTAGAAGTGCCTTGGTGACGTTTTGATGAAGTCTCATTCATCATCTTCAGGCTGGTGTTTTTGGCTTCGTCATCTTCAGGCTGGTGTTTTCGGCTTCGTGTTTTTGCTCCTAGAAGCACGAAGCCGAAAACACCAGCCTGAAGATGACGAATGAGACTTCGTCGAAACGTCGCCAAGACACTTCTAATTTGACGCGGGAGAAAACCCGAATGACCAAAGACCTACATACATACATACATACATACATACATACATACATACATATATATATATTAAAAAAATCTCCCTTGATCAATCATACAACACACTCCAGTCTTTTGATTTATTCCAAATTCTCACTTGCTCTGTTGGGGTTTATTTGTTGTGAGTCTGATGAAGATGGGTTTGCTAATGTTATATAAGAAAAGGAGATTTCGTGATTGCTTTTCTCTTCTGATAAAAGGGATCAGGAATGCTGATTAGCGGAAGCATTTTGCTGTGTTTTGCAATTCCTTCTTGGAGATCTTTCAAGTGCCACTCTTCAATGCTCATATAGTTGTTGCTGTTGTTTTTTAAACTGTGCTCTGTATCCACCTTGAAACAAGGAGCATTTTTAAATGACTTGGAATCACTAATGATTAAAACAAGACACAGAGAGATTCCCCTTATGGCAGTGATGGCGAACCTTTTAGAGACCTAGTGCCAAAACTGCACCCCAAAACCCACTTATGCATCATCGAGTGCTGGGAGGGTGTGGCCCATTGGGTGGGTGTGGCCAATTCGATGGGCGTAGCTGCAGTGGTAACGGCAGACTGGGTGGGACTAAAAAGTTCAATCAATCAATTTCAACTTTGCAAGATCTTTTTTTTTCCCACGATAAGTTGTAATTGACTGATTGAACCTTTTTTTTTTTTTTTGGACATGGCGGCAGAGGCCTAAAGCGAAAAGGTTTTATAAAACCCAGCTGAAGGCCTACGACTGGGGCGACGGCATGCATGCCCACAGAGAGGGCTCTGAGTGCCACCTCTGGCACCCATGCCATAGGTTCGCCACCACTGCCTTATTGCAAGACTGGGGCTCCTCTGCTTTAATTTCCCTTTTCCTTTTCCTCATTTGCTTTGTTTCCTTGTTGAATATGCACTTAATTTATTAAACAGCAGGTATTTATATTAACATATATATGCTTTATGGGCCAAAAATGAAAATGAATATTAAATTATTGATTTTATCGTCATTTTGTGATATAGACATTGTCATTTCTAATGTACACAGCTGAATGATGTCTTAAGTCAAATAAAGCTTCATGTTAAATGTTTGGATACCTATTTTATATTCCAACTCATCAAAGTAAGGGCAAAAAGGACATCCGAGCTACTCCATATTCAGGAGCTATTTTGATTCCTATCTACCAAATATCAACATTCAAACTTCAGTTCCATGAAGCATCCATTATTGTCCAAGTCACTTTCTCTTAAAGACAATTTATGAAGCCTTGGACTCCATCTAGTGATTTATGAAGTTTGTGCTAGGCAGGGGTCTTCAAACTTGGCCCTTTTATGACTTGTGGACTTCAACTCCCAGAATTCCTCAGCCAGGCACGCTGGCTAAGGAATTCTGGGAGTTGAAGTCCACAAGTCATAAAAGGGCCAAGTTTGAAGACCCCTGTGCTAGAGGCTTGGTCAAGGCAGTTTTGACTCTGTTATCTCCTTGCAACATGTTTCATGGAGGGCTTCCCTTGGAAAGGACCAGGGGCTACAGCTGGGACAGAACATTGCAAAAAAGTATTAATACTGTGTCCAGGGGGAAAGACCAGGTCCATACCAGAAAGTCCAATTAAACTGATTTATTGCTAGAAAACCTATGCATAGGATTTTTTTTTTTTTCAAATTAACAGCACATCCTTGGAATTAGATTGGGGGAGGGCTGTTAATTCAGCTGTGGCTTTGTAGAATTCTAGGCTGATCCCTTTTTTTAACTGAATCCCCAAGTTCTGCCACTCTTACATACTGGTCTCAATAGCATTTCTGGCCCTTAGCTTACTAGCTGGATTCCAAGCTTCTAATAATGATGCTTAAGGACGATTAAGTACTTCTCATAGAACCTACCTCTTTCAGTTTTAAGACTTGGAGGGTGATCTTTTCAGAGCCCCATAGTTGGGGGCATGGTGATGAAGGAAAGATTAGATAACCTTTGTTATCATTTTTTCCTGTAGGCGCAATGGCACACATTAAAAATTAAAATTAGTTGCTTGCTCTCAAAGTGTGCACATACATAACACACATTTAAAACATACTATATACAACATATGTATAGATCTACACCAGGGGTGTCAAACTCAATTTCATTGAGAGCTGCATCAGCATTGCGGTTGCCCTGGGGGGGGGGGGCAGGGGGGGGTGCAGCCTACTGGGTGGGTGTGGATGGAGTGGGTGTGACCTACTGGATAGGCATGGTCAGCTCTACGTCGTTCGGTTCAAGGGTGCCTGTGGGGGCCTGGGCAGGAGTGGGACAGAGCTGAGGGTCTCTGGCAGAAGGGGGCAAGCGCCAAGGCATGGTCCATTTCTTCATTCCTCACAAAGGGTGACACCTCCCCAGCATGCACTCACGGGGCAGGGCTGACGCAGCAGGGCCTGGTTCCTCGCTGTTTCCAGATGGCCTTGTGGAGCTAAGACTGAATGCGTTTCAGCATAGATGGCCACCATAAAATTGTACATTGGCTCCCAGCCGGCC